ACAGATTGAGAAAAACTCCCAGATGTAGAGACATCTTTCTAAAGATGTTATTAGACATGAAATTTCAGATGTTGTTGGACAGATGTTAATTCAGTAAAGTAAAAAAGTGATCTTAGACAAAAATGTTCGGATGTTATTTTACTACTTTGCGAATGTTGTTGGACAGATGTAGTAATTTTTCTTATATATATATATATATATATATATATATATATATATATATATATATATATATATATATATATATATATATACAAATAGTATTATATACTAAGGTAAGCAATCTGATGTCAATGGGGGCTTCAGTACATACATCGACTGACAAATAGCCTGACTCACAGTGGAGTGCTGCTACATTGACTGAGGGTTTAGGATGGGGTAGCAATTGTTTCATTCATCATTCTTCGTTTTTTTCCTTCTTTTTCTGAAAAAGCGGTATGGGTTAAGGTAAGTGAGCAAATGCTTATAAAAATATGCTTTAGTAAGTGAATATATATATATATATATATATATATATATATATATATATATACAGGGGCTATTCTAGACCGTTTTCAGCAGCGCCGACTGTATTTAGGCGCCGCCCAAATTGAAAATTGAGGATCTTTTTTTTTTAACGAAATCGGCAATTTTTTAACAGAAAATTGTTTTTTGTTTTGGCAAATATTGTATATTTTAAGGGAAATATCGTTACGTATTATTTTTTCCGAAATCTGATAATATGAATATGCTAATTTAATATTATTATTATTAGTTGAGTTACATCATTTTCTAGGCTTTTCTATTTTAAAGTAGTTTCTAGGCTTTTCTATACGCGTTTTTTTTTTTTAATTTTATTTACTAACAACGCGTATTACAGGTTGCTTACTGCTAGTGAACATTATTTTTGAAATTTTTATATAATTTCGCTTCATTTGAGTACCAGGTTGGCATAAGTTTTTAAAACTTTTTTTTTGAAAATATTAGGGACCCATTAAATTTTCAAGGGTCTTAAGGGACCCTTTAAATTATTTTTTATTGAAAAATAATTTAAACTTAGTGTTTTTGTATTAGATAAAACACATTTAGGGGGTGAGAGCAGATTGTTTTTAAAAAAGTTGTTTTTTGAGACACCCTATATATATATATATATATATATATATATATATATATATATATATATATATATATATATATATATATATATAATTGTTGTACACTGAACAACAATTGCTTGTCTAACAGCATCGTTTGCCAAGCCACCATAAGCTCAAATAAACCTCAATACAAAGATAAGGTATACATTGGGATAAGCGAAACCTCTTTTAAGCTACGTTATGCAAACCATCTTAAATCCTTCAATATAAAAAAGTACAAGAACAACACTGAGTTATCTAAGGAAGTATGGGATTTAAAAGATAACAATTTTACATCTTTAATCAAATGGAATATAATTAAACGCTGTAAATCATACAATCCTGCGTCAAAAATTTGTAAGCTTTGTTTAAATGAGAAATTTGAAATATTATTTTACAAAGGAGATAATCTGCTAAATAAAATAGGCGAAGTAGTTTCGAAATGTAGACACAAAAATAAATTTCTCCTTTCATTATTTGATAGCAGAGATTAGTTTTCCATTACGTCTTCTTGTACTAAGACGTCAGAACTCATTCTACTGTAGTTTGTAATTTTTAAACAGTTTTTTATATTTTTGATTTTGTATTTCTTGGCTGATGATTGACGATAGGCATAAAACTTTAAGTTCCATTAAAAGTTGTTTTTTCTATATTTAAGTATAAAACGCTCTGTTTTTGAAAAACTAAATATTTCTTAAATATTGAGCACTCTACAACGATCAAGAGTTAAGTATTTTTAATACTAAATCATATAACAACAATATATATATATATAAATATATATATATATATATATATATATATATATATATATATATACATATTTGTATATGTATATATATATATATATATATATTTAACATTTATAATGAAGTCTGCAATATATATATATATATATATATATATATATATATATATATATATAAAACATATATAATGAAGTCTGCAATAAACTGCCGACCTTAAACTGTTAGAGGTCAGCATCAGGAAGGCAAGATTATTTCAACAGAAAGGTTTTACCATATAACATCAAAAAAAGGTAAGCAATTTTTAGCCAACCTCAAGTACTTTTAGATCAGCATTCGTTATGCCGACCCTAATTCCAAGGGCTGATATTTTAATGTAAATTATTTTTGTGTATTCTACAAATAGAGTGCTTGATGTTCTTAAAGAGCAGACCAAAAGTTAATTAGTAAAAATGCTTCTCTAATTATTTTGTCTTTGACAGGCTGTTTCTCTTTCTGTATTTTATATATATATATTTATTTATATATGTGAAAAAAACAGAAAAAAACAGAAAATACTGGAAAAAAACGCATACTGAAATTTTTCAGTCCCTGTGTAATAAGTATTTGTGTTAATAAGGCAAATAATAAGTTAAAAAATTCTCGACCAAGAGGTAATCCACTGTTATTCAGAGTGGTAGCCCTCTTTTCATTTCATATTGAAGAAATAGAAAACCTTTCGTGCAAAATGAGTACACCATATTCGATTGACCAACTTACTGCTCTAGCAGCCAACTGGCCCGGTTTAGGACAAGGTAACCATTCAGCTGCTTCTCATAAACATGATGTCATCATATCAAAGTTAATAGCCACAGTCAATAACCTTTCTGCCCGTGTATCTGCTCTTGAATACGAAAATAGTACTCTGAAAGCAAATCTTGCTCAACTTCCCAAGTCAAATTCTCCTAATTTGGCCACAAAGCCATCATCCAAGCAGTCAATGAAAATGCCAAATTTGTAGAAACCAAGTCTAAACGTGCCATTATTGCAGGCCTTCCAAAAGCCCCTGACAATAATCAAAGACTAGTTTCAGTTTAGAATGTGCTCCAAAAAATTAACTATAATGTTGCTTTTAAAGTTGTTGGACATTTTCCAGCAAAAACTTCTTTAACAAAAAAGATCAATACTACAAGTCCAATACCAACCAGTTTAAGTACAACCAAAAAGAATTAATTCTTATTGAATTGGCAGGCTTGGTCGGGAAGCGGGAGCGATCGCTCTCGAATACTGACCACGGAAATTATATTTAGTTGCGAAAAACTGGCCAGGTTTTTCAGTCGTTTTGAGAACATTTAAGTTTATTTACGAAACAAAAAATTTTTGTTTTACGGACATACATGGAAACATAAAAACTTAAATGTTATCAAAACATCTTGATGCGAAAGAATAAAAAGAATATTTGTGAACACTAAAAACCCCCCAAATTAACGAACAAACTAATTCTTTTGGTTCAAAAAATACGCTGACTAAGCGAAATAAAATTTTGGAGCATTTTGTTGAAATGTTTTAGAAATTATTTTATTCACGTTTTGTTACGTTTTCAGATTTCTAGCATAAATTGTTTAAAGAATATATTTAAATTGTTTACAAAAATAAATGTTTTAAATATATATTAATTAAATTGTCAAAATTTTAAAAGTTTTTTATAAATTATAGATTTTATTTGTACATTCTTATTTTTTATTTAAAAAGTATGTATTCTTTATGTAAATGTAATTTTGTTGATCTGTTTTTTATCGTAATGTATCTTTTAAAGCAATTTTTATGATTTAAACAAAGACTTACAAAAATAATTGCGTTTTCAATAAAGTTATAATCGTTAAAGTTAATTAAACTAATCATGTAACACATATAAGAAGTTTTCTGGTTACTAAACACAAACAACGCATACAAAGTAACTCGCGAATGAACAAGCACCGCGCCTGAGGTCACGACAGAACACAAATATATATAGCAAATAATTAGATATAAAAAAAAGTTTCTAGATATTGGTTTACTAACTCTAATTATTTTCGCTTCATTTGCCATTCTTAAAAACTCGTTACACTTTTTTCTGCTTTAATAACTAATTAAATTACTAATTAAAAAGCCCACTCACTAAACATCATCAGCGATACTGTGAAGCAGTTTTGCTTCCTCGTCATATTTTTAACCTTTTTAGTTGATTTCTATCTTGTTAATTTAATGTCTATAGTAATTCAATGATTTAATTATTTCAATTGTTTATCTTACTAAGAAGAATTGCTTCAAATATGTTAAACTTTTCAAACTACGCGAAACATAAAATAGGTATTAATAAAAATTAGCTTTTTTATTTATAAAATAATTTAGCTTAAATAAAACTAAAACTTGCAAACTTTGTTTAATAAAGAATATTTGTTCCCTTTTTAAACAATCGTAAGATGTTACTTTAGATAAAAAACATCGCTTAATTTTATATTAAATTTTTTGTAATTGTCTCTCATCGGTCCAAATAATCTTTAGTTAAAATGTTCTCAAAACGACTAAAATATCTGGCCAGCTTTTCGCAACTAAATATTATTTACGTGGTCAGCAATCGAGAGCGATCGCTCCCGCTTCCCGACCAAGCCTGAATTGGATACAAATGAGCACCACAACGATCTTTTATTTAATGCTAAGCGACTTGCCTCAGTAGATGAATTAAATCCGCCCAGACCGTACACCTCTTGAACAAGAAACCTTCAACAGCCTAAACAAGAAGCGAGCTACTGAAAACGCAGAACTATTGGCAAAAGACTTACTTGACAAGCACTTTCGATTTGTCATCCACAGTGAAAAAATCAAATGCATTGATACATCCCGAACAGTCAATATCAATGAAAGAGAGAGGAACCCATTCCTTAAATGGAAATCAGCGGCTGAGGCCATTCAGTCGCTCTCAGCATTATACTAGTTCAATCTCCCTCAATGCTGCAAACTCTTCAACTCGTTTACCTTATCTCTCCTGCTTCTACACTAATGCCACCTCTCTTAATCCATCAAAACTGATTGAACTCTCCTTACTTGCAGAAACCAATTTCTTCGATATTATTTTTATCACTGAAACATGGTTTACTGAAAAATCAACTCCCACTCTTTTAAACTATAACCTCTATCGATCAGATCGTCTCAACCGAAATGGAGGAGGTGTAACCATCTATATAAACAACAAGCTCGTCTCAAACCAACTTGAAGACTCCCAACTATACAAAGATTTCATTTGCTACTTTTCAGAACAACTGTGGATTGAACTAAAGCTTCCAAACGAAACTCTGCTTTTAGGCTGTATTTACAGGCCTCCATTTTCTCTGAAATTTCCAATGCTATCTTTCATGCCAAAACAGCAATATTAACCAAAAAAAACAATTGCATCATTATTGCTGGTGACTTCAATTTCCCTGAGATTACTTGGACTTCCAATTCTGTTATCTCCTCTACCCAATATGGTCTCAGTTCATTGTTTATTGCTCATCGTCCAATGACAAAAACTCTCGATCTCATCATTTGCGACTCTTCTGATCGTGCTAATGAAATCAACCGAGTCCTCCACTCGGCTTGTCTGAACAGTATCATTGCTACATCACTTGGCAATACAAACTGGTTTCTAGTGAAAAATCATCACATTTCAACAGCTCTAAATTCATTTCAAGCTTGGCAACTACAAAAAAGTCAATATAGAATTCAACAAAATTGACTGGTCATCTGTCTTTAAAAACTTAAACGTGGAACAATGTTACCAGTTTTGGCTCAACAAATACAATGAATGCTGTCTTCGATTTATCCCATGTATGCCAAACAAACCATATCGCAAAAAAAAACCATGGATGACAAAAGAACTTTTATCTCTGATTCGTCTTAAAAAGTCACTATGGGCCCGCAATGTCAGCTCAAAATGGAAAATTGTATCCCTGGTCCATGAATATAAACAAACAAGAAAGTTTGTCAAAAAATTAAGTTGTTCTTCTCTGAAATCCTTCGAACTTGCTCTGGCCAATGATAAGCGCAACCCAAAAAGACTTTTTTCATACATAAATAGTAAGCATTCTGTAATAAATCAGATCTCATCAATGCGGGTTACCAGTTTCAGTGAGATTATTAGCTCTGACAAAGTTACAATAGCCAACTCACTTAACAATCAATTTCAATCAGTTTTCAGCAAAGAGCTATCTGATGACAATCTTCCTTTTTTTAGTCGTCGAACCAACTCAATCGTCAACAGCATAACATTTGACTCTCAGGCTACTCTCCTGGAGCTCTCATCTCTTGATCCATCCAAATCGCTTGGTGTAGACAGCGTCAGTCCTTATGTCTTACGCTCGTGTTCTACTTCCATGACTACTCCACTTACCCTTATCTTTCAAAAGTCATTTGACAATGATGAAATTCCAAGCTCGTGGTCTAAAGCAAATGTAACGCCTTTGTTCAAAAAAGGCTCTCGAATCGATCCAGCAAACTACAGACCAGTCTCCCTTACCTCAATCCCATGTAAAATAATGGAGAAACTTGTCAAAAAAGCGATCATGATGCATCTAAAATTGAACAGCCTTCTTTCAAATTGTCAACATGGCTTTGTAGAGAAAAAGGCATGCGTCACAAATCTGCTTGAAATAATGGACTTTTTGACCGCGAACATGGCCAGAAAACTACCAGTTGATGTCGTATTCCTAAATTTTGCCAAAGCATTTGACAAAGTACCACATCAACCGTTGCTCTATAAACTAAAAGTGTATGGAATCAAAGGAAATCTTCTTAATTGGATTAAAGCTTTCCTAACCAACAGATCTCAACGAGTTATCCTTGGTAACACTCAGTCGAATTGGTTACCAGTGACTAGTGGTGTTCCGCATGGTTCAGTCTTGGGTCCAGTTTTATTTGTCATTTACATCAATGACCTACCAGATGTTATAAGCAAAAAAAAACATTTGTAAAATCTATGCTGATGACACTAAAATCCTCAGCGTTGTCAATACACTTGCAGCTCAGCTTCAACTGCAATCAGACATTGATGAAATTGTTCTTTGGAGCAAGTCTTGGCTTATGGAGTTAAACATAAAAAAATGCAAAGTCATGCACTTTAGTCAAAAAAATTCAATTCCTTTCGAGTACTCAATGGAAGAAACTGGCTCTAATTCGATAGTGGCGCAAACAAATTTGGAAAAAACCACCTCTGAACGTGACTTGGGAATCCAAATTACTAATGATCTTAAAGTGGAAAGCCAATCCATCATCGCATCATGTAAAGCAAACCAAATGCTTGGTATTTTAAAATATACCTTCCAATGTCGTGATGCTTCTCTGTGGAAACAACTATACTCCACTTATGTCTGTCCTCTACTTGAATTTGCTATCCCAGCTTGGAACCCTCATTTGGTGAAAGACAAGCAAGTTATTGAGAAAATACAACACAGAGCCACAAAGATACCGCACATATTGAAAAATTTAAACTATCAGTCTAGATGTGAAAAACTTGGCCTCACATCTCTAATTGACCGCCGTAAACGAGGTGACCTCATTCAGAAATTTAAAATTGAGAAAAACATTGACATAATTAACTGGCATTTTCCTCCTATTACAATTCCGCCGAGAGCTAGTCACAGAGA